GCATTTAATATGGTTGAAAGGTCTTGAACCTAAAACCAAGAATCTTACTCTTAAGAAATTGACAGCTAACTATTTTGAAATGGAAACTCTACTTTACTATACAGTGGAAAATGTCTATTATACGATGATCGCTGTTTGTCACAGGTATATCAATAGACATCATTCCTGTGGTGGAATACGAAGCACATGTGGAGCCACACAGTACAACTACAGAACATTTTGTGAGTATATATGTCAGGAGACTTGTATATAGGGCTTACTTCAAGGTCCAGTCATTTATTTTCATGTATTTGTATTTGAATAAAGTATTATTATTATTATATAATAATATGCGACTTTCACAACAACCGTAAGGGGAATTAGCTGGAATTTTTCAAGAATGTAATTCGAAAATGAATTAATGAGCTTTTTTTAGGAGGGAGAGAGAGCTAGTTAATGGGCGAATAAGGAAATGAAAGAGGAAGGGGGAGGGGGAGGGGGAGGGGAGGAGAAAAATAAGGAGCATGTAAGAAAGGGGAAGACGACCTAGGTAGTTGGGTGAGCAAGGTGAGGAGAGAGGGAGTGAGAAAGAAAGACGGAGGGCCGAGAAAACACATGCATGAAAAAGAAAAGTAAATGGACGAAAGAACGAGGGACTATGACTAAAGTAATGCAACATAGGTTTTTTGAATATCAAAATAAAAGAACCAATCTTGATACTGATTTCTCCCCAGGTTCCTGTAGTTATGCAGTATGTAACCTAGGTCAGTGGAGTTCCTGGACAGATCTTCCCAAACCCGTCAGTAATGATCATTGTGCGTCGCAAAAAAGGCGGCGTAGCTATAGCAGGACCTGGGCTTACATGCCCAGAAGAGACAACTGTTATGGTGTACAACCGCAAAATTGTCCCGCAGATCAGGAAGAAACAAGAGAAAAAGGTACGACTTTGTTTTACTTTACCTGTGAAAGCCCATGACAGTTAGGGAAAATAGACCTTTACATTTCATTGATACCCTAAAACAACACTTTGGGCTGATCGATGTCAGGAAATGCTTACTTAAAAATTTACCAACTTTAATTGGTTTTGACGTGATTTACTTTTCGTCCACCAAACTAGCAAGATGTTATTACAACAGCGCGAGTAATCATTTATTTTATCGAAGGTAGCCAAAAGCCTAGACATCGACCCAGTGTCGAGGTGGCAGAAATATAAAAAGCGCTAAGGAACAAGTCATTATGGATCACCTGGTGTAGGGGGGGGGGGGGGGGGGGGGGGGGGGGGGGCTTGACTAAGGGTTTTTATTGCATATAGATTATAACTGATTCTCCCAAAAAAGCGCCATATTTTATGTTCCATGCTTATTAGTAGTCGCACTACTGAGTGATCCCTTCTTTGATCCCTCAATGTTTAGCTGATCCCCGTTTTGTTGGCTAAAAACCATGTGACCCCCTCCCCCTAAATCCTCCGGCCCCTGACCCCCAGGCGATGATGACCGATCCCCTAGGAAGGAAATGTGCAACAAACGAACTCAAACATAACCACCGCCTCCAATGATCAAAGTTTTGCAGATACATCCATTACTATTAGACGGATCTTATTAAATTCAATAAATTAGAACTCGATTTCATTTTTCTTTAATCAATCAGTCATTACATGTTCGCCGCTACCAAGGCCCCCTCACGGAAAGTGGGAACCTGAAGACTGTAGCGTCAACAGTCGAGTGTGCACAAGTTATTGCAGACTACAGTGCAATATCAGAAATGGTTATGAAATATCAGGGCCCGCTGCCAGACAGTGTCAAGCCAATGGAGAATGGTCTACACCTTGGAACTCCTCTTGTAAAGGTTAGCGAGAGTTATAAGAAAAATTTCCATGAATGAAGCCCTTGTGTGCGAGCGTGTATACCATTTATTTGTTATAAAAAGACGTGGAAGCAATGTATGTTGCTTGGCGGCCACATTTCAAGCTACTTCGTTCATCATGTAGTTAACTTAATCGCCCTATTTCACTATGACGTCTCTGCTTGTTTATGTAGGGGATATAATCGCCAAAAGCAATAGAAAATTACACAAAATTTGCTCCTAGCGAAACAGTTTAATCTAATATGGCCTGGTTTTCAGATATAATATGTGTTGATATGTACTAACAAATATTCTGAGCGTTTGCTGGCTATTCTACTTCTCTTCATGGATTGATACGGGTTTTAGAACAATTTTCGCTGAATTTGCGTTGATTTGACCCCCTCCGACGGCCATGATCCTTTGTGTTTAAACAATAGATTGTTTTGATGTGACGTCATAGTTAAATAGGGCAATTGACTCTTGAAAATCATTTCCATTCCAAACATTCGTTCTTGTATTACTAGACGTTCAAGCGCCTAATATAGTTTGCCCGTCCCCTCGCGTGGTGGGCAATGACATAGGTAGGAACACAACTCGCATCACTCTACCAACAGTGGTGGCAACAGACAACGACGGCAAAGTACCCAGGGTGACTCACGATGTTGGTGCAGCGGTTAAAGACTTTGAAATCAAAGACACGTACCATATTGTCAAGTATACAGCCATTGATGAAACTGGTAACAATGCATCCTGCTTTTGGCAGGTCACGGTTAAAGGTAAAGATGATTAAGGGCTCGTTGCGCCATAGTAATAAGCTCATGCTCAGATAAGGACACTAAACGGTAGGCCCGTCAGCCTCTCCTCTAACCGGTGGTATAAGGTGGCCGTTGTGGACTCACTGTAAGGATGTTAGTCCTTAGTAAAAACCTCATTGTCATTGACTGACTACATATTCTATGGGGACATTAATAAAAAAAGCACATCAATCCCCAAGCCGGACTGTAAACAGTATGGAAGCTCTAAGTACCATGAAAATTAATCCGTCTATAAAAAAAAAAAAGGTTGTTTGGAAGAATATAGAATTTTTCAAACACTTTGACTCTTCTTGTGAAATAATACGCAAAATGTGAAACTTGAACTGCAGGAAACTTGAACTGCAGGAGAGGCCCCGGGCGCATCTGTCTTTCCACTCCTTACACCACTGTGTGTAATAAAAAGTAGTCTCCAGGCGATAAAAAATCAAATTTAATTTTCAGATACAGAGCGTCCAACAGCTGTGACTTGCCCAGATGACATCAAAGTCGAAACAAGCCAGAACCAAGTTCGCGTAAATTGGAAAAACCCAACATTTGTAGACAACTACGACAAGCCCCCGCTTCGAATCAAAAGCAACAAAAACCCTGAAGTGTTGTTTCCATGGGGAAAACATAAAGTCATCTATACTGCATTTGACCGGGCTAATAACAATGCCAGCTGTGAATTCTTTGTTGAAGTAGGCCGTAAGTATCCGAGAGGAAGAGAGGAGAAAAAGCCAAGGGCAATTTCTAATATTGATTGAATGTGATTGGATGAAGCGCGAGGATACAGTGAAAAGACATTTATCACACATGAGTACGATTACCTCAGTACCGAGTCCTCAATATTCTTTAGTATTGGCCAGCTGCGATACACTCCAACTCCAATCTGCAGTTAATATCAAAATTCGAAGAATTGTTGTGCCTGTAGTTCAGTGGCGCACTCGAGAGTTTAAGATTAAGATTTAAGATTACCAGTAACTAAAAAGATCTGTAGATGGTGATGGGTTGGCAGTAGTTCCGGTTAGTGGTTGGTGGTTGGATTGCTATAGATTGTTAGACAGGTATGAAGGTAGGTTCTTAGCTGTTAAATGTCCATCTTTCCAATACCGATTAATGCACTGTTAGCTCAATACACAAAAAGTAACATCCTTCTCTTTTTAGCTGTTAAATGTCCATTGTTCGACCCACCGCAATACGGAATACGCGCGTGTAACAAAAAGGTTCAGTCACCAAACTCTGTGGACTACGAAATGTTCTGCAACGTGCAGTGCAAGAAAGGATACGCCTTTGCTAAATCGACGCCTCAACTGTATATGTGTAAATCGAATGGAATCTGGAATAAAATGGTCGACGGAGTTGCAATTCCCCTAGGTAACATCGAAAACAAGCCTTGGCCTGACTGTGCACGTAAGTCTAGGTTCACTAAAAAGTTTCCTTCTAAACAGATTGATCAAAACCGTATAAACTAGTTTAGTCTAAACCTACTAATGGTCTTTCCCAAATCCTGCGCCCTGATTGGTTGACCTACTACTAGTGATCTATTAGTGAAGACCACTATAGTAGCAAAATGTAACGGTTTTGAAAACCAATGGCAGCTAACTCGCGTTTTATACCTAATGTCAAAATTGCTTGAAACCATATATTTGACCAATCAGTAGCTTTAGACTAAAACAAATAGCTAGGGCCTTTCAACCTCATTATTTACGAATCATTTACGGCCCATTTTGCCTTTGGTCTTATGAGCTACTTACCCATAGATCATTCAGCCTTTGCATCTAATTGTTAAAAATGCTTTTTTTATTACTATCACACTCTGAAAGGGGATATTCAGTGAGGTATGCTCCACATGCACTACTACTACATTCACCATTTACTACACTCAACTCACATGTTACAACTGCCTTCACCACTACACGCTAATCTAGACAGCAAAATCAGGCAACAGACTATCGTCAATCAAACAAATTGATAGCAGTGTATTGCCCAATTTTCCTGTCCTGATTGCTGTCTTGTGATCAGTGCATAGCAAATAAAACAGGGTAATTTTAACTGAGGGAGAGAAACCAGAGAGCCCTGAGATAAACCCTTAAGGCAAAGGGAAAGAACAAAACATCAGAAACTCAATTCATGCAGTTCAATTGTCGAGTGTCAAACCTGTGACCTCGGGCATGAACTACACATTGGAGTGACAGTGGTATAGCAGTGCGTGCAACCCACAGTGACTAATAATCTTCAACTTTTTCATTACTTGCAGCCGAGCAGGCAGCTAGCGCAGCCATGAAAGAGTTCACGTTTTACACAGGAGCTTGCATAGGGGATGAAGGAGAAGCCTTAAATCAGATTCGAAATAACTTCCTCTATGCAATCAAAAAGATTCCATTGGCTAAATTCTTACTTTGTAAAATTAGCCAAGGTCTAGACTGTGTGGTCAGCAATGTTAAAGCGTACTGTGGATCGAGGTAAGTAAGCACGCAATCTATTCTCACATACAATAGCTTTGACTCTATTGGTGCCTTCTACTTTGAACTGCACAGTGGAGCTACAAGGGTGAGTCCTGGGGGAACTACTGTGGGGACTTCAAAGGTCCAGGGGGGTAGGGGAGTAGGGGGGTTATACTAGATCATCACAAACCACCTCTTCATATTATCATTCTTCCATGATTATTAATATTTTTACAATGGAAACTTTTAGCTGAAACTTTTGTTTGTTGCGAGACAAGTTTCATGAGGGTTTTACGCGGTGCAATTTTGTTCTGAAACTTGTTTGGGACACACTTTCTCCGTCATGACAAAAGTTTCACAAAGCCTAAATTGTGCCCTGTAACACCCCCATAAAAATGTTTCAAATAAAAGTTTAAACATGTAACAGGGCTTTAATGACAGACTATTGATTTGGTATACGTTTTTCCACTCTCCCCTTTAAAATCCAATATCACCATACATCAGTATCAGGAATTCCTTTGAAAAGTCAAATTTTGTATGCTTTATTATTAGATCTAAGCGGAGTGGAGGGTCAGAGACGCAGAGAATCATCACTTTAGATTTTATCGTGAACAACACACATCCAAGCACTGACCGTAAACTTTTGGCTAAAAAGCTTCACAAAATGCTCAAGGTGAATTGTAGATTTGAATTCATAACATTTTTTAAAATGTTTAAAAACCTACTTTTTTTCGTTATAGTTTCTGCTGTGGTGGTTCTTGTTATTGTCAGTAATAAATGTTGTTACTGTAATTTTATTCCACATAATTTTCTAAATATGTGGAATAAAATTATCATATTTTAGGGACAAAAGAAAGACACTAATAGCAGTTGCGTAGGAGACTAACTGGTCTAGTAAATATGTTAAATAATCTTCGATATACTGAAGTATTCAAAGCAGAACATAATATAACTTATTATCATAATCAACTTTTTCAATATTATCCAAAATGTTTTTTATTATGCTCCAACATCCAAAGCAAGGCAAAAGCTTTTAACAGTTTTGCATTATAATATAGTCAAGTAAATCCGCGCGATCTGATTGGTTGAAAAGCATGAACCATTTGCCCATGGGTTGCACGCTCACGTCAGCTTTTTTTGCTTCGGCGAAAAAAAAAACTTTTTGCTGACAATTTATCTAGAAAAGATAACTGAAAATGATTGAAAAAACGTCACTCCAAAAAGACAAAGCAAACCACAAACTGTCGGTGTCTAAATTCAAAGGGTTTTTAGCAATGATTAAACAAATACAAAAATATTATTATCGTGTATTTATTCAACAAAAGTACTTCCAAAGTAATTAACTATAAATATCTTGCTCACCATCTACTTCGCAGCTTCACAACTGCAGTGAAGTCCTTTCTGAAGCTTTACATGGGAGTGAAAGCCGACATACTACCCAGAGAAAATTAATCCAGTTCAGTCAGTTAGTTTTGATCCGTGTACAAGAAGCTTTCCATTGCTAAGTCATTGTAAGATAACAAACTTGAACATTGTCAACAACAACAAAGACAGCCACTGTGTTTTTCACTGATTTTCTCGGGCATTACTGTACTAAGATATGTCAACATTTGAAATGTACTTCTTACAGTTGAAAATCATTTTCTCCTTAGTTTTGGACATTTTTGATTCACTTGTAAGCTAAATTTTTTGCCATTATTTTAGTCATAACAGTCTTCAGTGTAAAGCTGCCATTTTCAAAACGACTGTTTTCTGTTTTTAGCGCCTTTGTGCTTTTCATACACGCAAGGTGCGTAAGGAGAATTTAGGGCATGATCAACAAATACAGTCTATAATTTGTATTTATTTCTTGTTTGTTGACTTGACTATATTATAAAAGCAATGGATCATAAGTAGCTGTGCGTCCATCGAGTTATGGATGCACTTGGGAGGTTGAGTTAAGCACTCAAAAAAGCTAGAGTTGCTTACGCTTACGCTCTTACGCTTACGCTCTTACGCTTTTCTTCGTGCTTAGCAACCTCCCGCGTGTATCCATAACTCGATGGACGCACAGCTACTTATGGTCCCTTGCTTAATTTTAAACTAATGATGCATCCGATAATTAAGGCTGAAGGCACATATTCATATAGGGAATATGTAAGGAATATATATATACTCCCGCACCATAACCTATCCCTCATTATCACCATCATCAACTTTTTCAATATTATCTATAATAGGAACTTGGTGATCTGGAGGCTTACCTGAAGAAAAAGCTTCCATCACTCTCTGACATGCCAAACCTTACAGTAGAGGCTAAACAGGCCACAGCATTTTGTCCAGCACCAAAAGTGAAGAGGATTTTGGATGGTCAGGGCTCTGAGATTGAAAGATCAATTTGTGGTAAGCACTTGATATCAATGCATGGTGGGTTTAGAATTTTGAATTGGGAAAAAGAATTGACCAATCAGGATGTAAGATAATTTCTTCCTTCTTGGATACAACTTCTGTTTGCGTGACCACATAGGACACACAAATTATGTAACCACACCAAATTCTTATTTTTACTGGTATCCATCAATTGAAATTGGGGTTTGTTCAAGATTCAATACTGAATCACCATAGCTTCGCCTACAGCCTCTAGATTTACCACAAACTTTCCCAAAGAAATTCACTTGAGTGAACAGAAAAAAAGTCGACGTTGGACTTGAAAATAAAGTTAATTTGTATGAACACACTAAGTCCAACCTCGACTTGGAACACTATCCTACTGTATCAGACACAATTGATTCCCTTACATGTAAATATTTTTCCCTTGAGGTTACAACTGATGAATGAGATTCAGCTATTTAGATGCAGCTTTTTTTGTGTTTATATTGGCAAACAAGTACAATAACGCCAAGACAAGGCTTCATGGTCTGAATTAGGAAAGCAGTTCTTGGGTTCACAGCTTAGCTCTTGCTTTTCACATATTTTATTATAGAAAAGTTTGCTGTATACACCTACTTGCAAGAACGTTGTCATACGATATTAGAACATTAGTAATTTAGTGAGAAAGGAATACATTAAAAGACAAAAGAAAAAGTGCAGCTTCAGTGATCTTAATGTAATTCCTATCACACTAAATCACTAATGCTCTATTTTCGTATGACAACGTTCTTACAAGTAGGTGTATATTTACTTCGGCTACTCTGGGCATTAAATCCTATTTAACGTTTTTTTAGTTTTTGTTTTTTTGTTTTTTTGTTTGTTTGTTTGTTTGTTTGGTTTTTTTTGTGTGTGTACGTGTAAATGATTGAAAAGAAGCTTGTTATCTAAAATTCCATGGGTGCATATTTAAACATATAACAAAACCTCACGTTTAAATTGACTGCAAACTCCATTTTCCAATTTCTCTAGTCGAATGCCCAATAGGGACACACTACAGCAACAACACACAATCCTGTAATCTCTGTGAAGTTGGGAGCTACCAGGATAACATTGGCCAGATCTCTTGTAAGCCTTGTCCACCAGGAAAACTTTCGATAGAACAAGGAGCCACGAACGTTACTCAGTGTTATGGTAAGTTCTACGGATTTCTGTCAAGGGATTTACGTAATCATGCATATGTCATGTTTTGATGCCGTATCAAATTTCTAAGGTTGGACATGTAAAATTGTAATGTTCTTGATTGGTTAGTAAGTGACAAGACATTCTACAAAAAAACTTTACAATGTTACAATTGTTATAACGGTGAGCAAAACGTAGGCTGGGTATATGGGATTTAGTCAAAATCGGGGCTGGGAAATGGATTTAGGACCCCACCCTTCAGAACCCTCTACATTGTGTACCTTGTCATCAACCCCAGAGACCTGTTGAAACGTTCGGTACTGGGTGTCAGTACATTTCTTTCTGCGAATTAACTTTATATTTTAGAGAATTGGTGAGAAACTATTTAGGATTACTCATAATATGTAGTATCAATAACCGTTGCTTTTTAGATGCGTGCAAGCCAGGGGAATATGCACACGTTACAACAGGAGGTGCCATTACTTGCCTAGCATGTCCAATAGGAAGCTACCAACCGAAAGCACTTTCCAAATCTTGTCTCAAGTGTCCTCAAGGAAAAACAACTAGTCGGGTTGGGGCGGTTGCTCTGGAGGACTGCAAATAAACAAGGTATGATTGTCAACTGATGGTTTTGCTTTCAGTTAGTAAAAAAATTTGAACTGCATGCGAACTTTTATGTACAACTGACCAATTTCCCATGCATAAGATATACTGGAAAAGTAATTACGCGTCGAAAGAATAAAGCAGTTTAATTTTCAGGTGATTGGGGAAGTAGCAACGTAGGGTTAAATGCAATCTCCTCCATCTTACTTATTTTTTGCTGCTAGTATTGAGCTCCCCTAGATCAGTAATGAAATGATGGACTCTATATAGCACTCTTTATAATTCCTGGAACTCTTCTTTTTCTTTACAGAAAGATGTGGATTTAACGCCTCAAGTACATCAGAGACTAAAAACAAATTAGAATGATTAGACACGTATTATCTGGACCGTTTATTCAATAAAATATGGACGCAGCTATTAACATGTATTAAAAGCCTCTACGTTTTGATTTTACTGACACTACAAGTGTACTCAAATCGCTAAAACTATATACAGCCACGACTGCCCTCGTCCGAAATAGCGTTACCGCTTTCATTGTAACCAGTATCAAGGTAAATCCTCGGTACTTATCCCATTTCAAACCTGTCGTCCGAATCCCAAACTTTTTCTTTCAAATCTCTTTTCCCGTTCCCATTTGTTATTGCTTGTTTGTTTATTTTTGGGATTTTTTTTCATTCCCAGTGTGGCGTAAATTCAATTTTTTCTAGGGTGAACATGATAGACAAATCCTTGTTCGCTTTTTAACCCCTCAGGACACTAAGAAAGGATGTAACGAACTATCGAACAAAGAAAGGATGGAAGAAAGGAAGGAGGAAACGAATAAACAAATGAACAACAAAACAAAGGATCAGGAATTAACGTGGGAATGAAGGCGGCGAGGGGAGGAGGGG